GTATTAAAATGGAGCTGAACAATCGCTGGTATTAAAATGGAGCTGAACCATTACGGGTATTAAAATGGAGCTGAACAATCGCTGGTATTAAAATGGAGCTGAACCATTACGGGTATTAAAATGGAGCTGAACAATCGCTGGTATTAAAATGGAGCTGAACAATCGCGGGTATTAAAAGGGAGCTGAACAATCACGGGTATTAAAATGAAGCTGAACAATCGCGGGTATTAAAAGGGAGCTGAACAATCGCGGGTATTACAATGAAGCTGAACAATCGCGGGTATTAAAATGAAGCTGAACAATCGCTGGTATTAAAATGGAGCTGAACAATCGCTGGTATTAAAATGGAGCTGAACCATTACGGGTATTAAAAAAAGAACTGAAAAGTTAATTACAGATGTTAAAAGTCCGATCTGTATAATTCGACCTGATAGTATTGTGTAAGGTGAGTGTGAAAGACAACCAAGTTTGTCTGTGATCTACATATCTGGTACTAAATTCGTTGTATAATTTACAGTGTCTTGCCAAAGTATTCACCCACTCCAAAGGTTTCACATTTGGTTACCATCTGAACTTGCAACCATGAAACTTTCAAATGGGACTTTATATTTAGAATCTACACAATTTACTCCAAACTGAGAAAGGTCAAAAATCGCTGATATTATGTAAGTTAAGTTTTCAAGGAAAATTAGAATATTCTCAACTGCATAAGTATTCAACATCTTTGTTACGACAACCCTAAATCAGTTCAGGTGCAAAAGATTAGTTTGAAAGGTCACAAAATTAGTGTAATGGTCTCTATCTGTGTGTAATTAAAGTGGTTTGACTTGACTTCAGAGTAAATGCATCTGTTCAAGCCACAACTCACATATTGATACGACAAACCAACCTCAAAGACCAAGGAGCTTTCCAAACAAGTCAAGGATAAAGTGGTAGAGAAGCACAGATCAGGAGAAGGTTACAAGAAAACTTCAAAAGTCACTGATTATCCCTTTGAGTATGGTAAAGTCCATCATTAAGAAGTGGAATGTGCTTCATACCACCCAGTTACTACCCAGATCAGGCCGCCCTTCTAAACTAAGGCAAGCAGGAAACTGGTTAGGGGTGCCACTGTGAAGCCAACAGTGACTTTGAAATATTTACAAAGTTCCATGTCTGAGATGGGAGTCAGTGTTCATACATCGACAATATCCCAGTCCCTACACAAAGCTGGCCTTTATGGCAAGAAAGAAGCCATTACTGAAAAAGAATAATCTTAAATTTCGTATGTAGTTTGTGACAAATCATGTAAATGATACTGCAGACATGTGGCAGAAGGTTTTGTGGTCAGACAAAACAAAAATTGAGATGTTTGGTCTAAATTCAAAGTGTTACATCTGGCACAAGTCCAACACAGCACATCACCCAGTCAACACCATCCCAACTGTCAAGTTTGGTGGTGAGAGCATCATGTTATAGGGATGCTTCTCATCAGGATTGAGGGGAAGATGGATGGTGTAAAGTACAGGTGAATCCTGGAAGAAAACCTGCTTGGGTCAGGCAAGAATCTAAAACTGAGTCGAAAATTCACATTTCAGCAGAACAGTGACCAGAAGCACAAGACCAGAGCCACACTGGGGTGGTTTCAAAGGAAGAAAGTGAATGTCCTGGAGTGGCCCAGTCCAGTCAAAGTCCTGACTTGAATCCAATGGAAAGTTTTTGGCGAGACTTGAAGATCTTAGTCCATCAACGATCCCCAACGAACTTGTCAGAATTGGATCAATTTTGCCAGAAGAATGGACAAAAATTACATCATCTCATTGTGCAAAGCTGATAGAGGCCTATCCAAAAAGACTCACAGCAGTAATTACTGACAAGGGTGCTTCCACCAAGTATTGACTTAGGGGGCTGAATACTTATACCATCAGTACATTTCAGTTTATATATTTTCTTTGCAGGTTTTGCTGACATTCATCCTCCTTCACACATAACAGTGTTAAGTTTGATCAGCTGACATTCATCCTCCTTCACACATAACAGAGTTAAGTTTGATCAGCTGACATTCAACCTCCTTCACACATAAAAGTGCTAAGTTTTTAACAAAAACTAGCTCATTAAGAAAATTGTTCACATTATTTGTATTTTATCAAAATGTGACATAATTGATGGGGGGAGGGATGAATACCTTTGCAAGACACTGTAAAAACTACATCTCTCTGTTTAATAAGTATAAACAATAATAAAAAAGTTAACTGCAGCTCTCCCCCCCCCCTCCCACACACACATTTCTATTAATCTGTCCATTGCGGCTCTAAATCAAAGGTCTGTAAAACTATAACTTAATACTTTTACTTTCCCGAAGTTCTAGACCAATACGGTTTTCGTTCAACACCAGAACTCGTCAGTTGATCTGGACGATGAGAGACAAAAGTGTCTTTGAAACGCTGTTGGTTTTCAAATATTTCGCCAGGTTTCGACATTTCTACTGTAACTTAAAAACAATAAGCTCACGTAGTTTTCTCGTGAAATGTTTATCTTTGTTTTAGCTCTTAAATTGAAAGATGTTTTGATGAGTTTTGTTTGTAAGTTGAGTTATACAAGCCGAAGTTTTTTTTTGTTACAGTTTGTATCACACCATACACTCTTAGTAACAAGCGCCCTACCTCCAACCACAAGCTGGGCTGTAGCCTGTTGACTGCCCCCTTGACTGTATACAAAACACTGATACATCCCTTGGTCTTCCTTCTGCACGGACTTTATATGTAACACTTCTTTTCCTCGGAGGATAACTCTTCCATTTGTCACCAGGGGGCGAAAGTTCTTTGTCCAAACGATCGAGTCAATTGGATGTCCTGCAATACTGCACGTGAGTGTTGCTAACCCACCACTAAGCACAAGTAACGAATGAGGCTCAACCCGCACTTGTAAAGGCACTAGGAAGAAAAATACAGAAACTTTTCAACAATACTCTTAAACACTGGAAAGTAAAAGCTTTTCAACAATACTCTTAAGCACTGGGAAGAAAAAACTTTTCAACAATACTCTTAAGCAGTGGGAAGGAAAAACTTTTCAACAATACTCTTAAGCAGTGGGAAGAAAGAACTTTTCAACAATACTCTTAAGCAGTGGGAAGAAAGAACTTTTCAACAATACTCTTAAGCACTGGGAAGAAAAAACTTTTCAACAATACTCTTAAACACTGGGAAGAAAAAAACAGAAACCTTTCAGCAATACTCTTAAGCACTCGCAACTTCAGCTTTTCTTAACTGTGGGGTGAGGACAATGTGACATATAATGGGCCAAACCTGAAATAGGATTAGTGGAAAGCCTTAGCTGGGGGGCAACGACACCTCAGGGGACCTGGCCCCCCAGCTAGAGCCTTCCTTGCTCTGAATACAAAAATCATTGACTAAAAATAAAACCAGCACTGGTAATGAATAACAACACACAATATCTGTAGGAAATCAATCTCTTGTACTGGAACTTCGAACTGAACTTTTCATAGTTAATAGCGGAGTGGAGTTTATTTAGTTACTTCGTTAGGCTACAACGATTAACGCTTCGCTACCAGAGACGCAACGCCGTAATCTAGTGTTAGAATTCGTTTTGTTTCGAACATCGGTAACTTTCACTTATAACTTGTGTGTTCAAAGTAAAACTGACAGGTTCTGTTTATCATAATAGTTCAACAACTTCTAAACATAAACATCTTTATGTTTATCTGACAGGACAATTAGACGCCGTCCGACTTCATTAGCGCGATCCTAATTTGTCCACGAACAAACCATTTGCTTTGTACATACGATACACGAGCTGTCGGTTGGTAACAGTGAACGTTGTCTGTTTCACTTTTATGAACACATTACGCTCATCGAGTCAATGTCTCCCATCCACGTGCAAACGTCCGATCGTCTAAAGTCTGATTGGTCAGTGATGTGTTTTTTCCACTCGTATTAACCCTAGAACTACTGATGAAATTCTGGTGATGACGACGTTTTTCTAACCTGTTTATACCTCAGATTGCTTGGGACTTCATGACTTAGTCGGTTACAGGATCCCTGTGTCACGGAACGAAAAATGTAGAGAAAAAAACAACATTAATTAATCAGACCAGTTATACACAGAAAATGTGTGTTTTAATTAAAGTGTTTTGGTCAGTTCTGGATGTTGTAACACATAAAACCATAAACTTTCCTTATGATGTTGTAGGTAGACCCACCAGTTAGTGTATTATACACAGAAAATGTGTGTTTTAATTAAAGTGTTTTGGTCAGTTCTGGATGTTGTAACACATAAAACCATAAACTTTCCTGATGTTGTTGTAGGTAGACCTACCAGTTAGTGTATTATACACAGAAAATGTGTGTTTTAATTAAAGTGTTTTGGTCAGTTCTGGATGTTGTAACCCATAAACCATAAACTTTCCTTATGATGTTGTAGGTAGACCTACCAGTTAGTGTATTATACACAGAAAATGTGTGTTTTAATTAAAGTGTTTTGGTCAGTTCTGGATGTTGTAACCCATAAACCATAAACTTTCCTTATGTTGTTGTAGGTAGACCCACCAGTTAGTGTATTATACACAGAAAATGTGTGTTTTAATTAAAGTGTTTTGGTCAGTTCTAACACATAAAACCATAAACTTTCCTTATGATGTTGTAGGTAGACCTACCAGTTAGCACTGTACACCATACAAGACACACATATTTTGACTATGCCCAAAGCAACATCAATTAAATTCGTTTGTTGACTAACTTATCTGTTCGTAAAAACAATCGTTTTTGACTTTTTCTGTTGATTTGAAATTTTAAAGTTCAAAACACATACTGACAGTATTTTACTGTCGTTGAATAGAAACACTCAACATCATTCGTATGAATTTGGGAAATTTTTGAGACCTTTTGGTGACCAAGTGGTAAGTCTGAGAGCTTATAACGCTAAAAATCGAGTTTCAATACCTGCTGTGGCAGAGCGTAGATTACCCATTGCGTAGCTTTTTGCTTAACAAGAAATAAATACGATTTTTTTTATTCTTATGATAGAGGCAATTTTCGACGCCATCTTGGAACGGGCCTGATTTATTGGTTAACGTGATCGGAGTGTAAATCCGGGAATCCATTATTCGCGGCCAGTTTCCTCAAAAACGTACTCCGCGCTTTAAAGCAATGGGTGCGCTGTAAGTTTGGTTGTCTTTGGTTAAGCACAACATTACACAAGGGACTATAACCCACAGGAGTTATCGAAACCTAATTTTCAGCTTTATAAACCCGCATCGGGGTTTCAGCTATGCCGTAAGAATGAGGTGGTCAGAGTAATACCATTATTTGGGCAGGCAACAGTTGGTGTTAGTTCTGTTGACCAGCAGCTTCCCGAAAGTATTCTGTTTCAAAATAAGGAATAACAAACATTTTGACTTTTTTTGTTTTTGAAGTTCATGTGTCATGCTGTATTGTAGTCTACTGACGTCACGACAATACAAATTGCAACGTTAAACGTTCCTTATGTGACGTTATTTTAGTGTCTACTGACTGATTATCGGGAAAATACCGACACAAGTTTTAGACATCACGCAATGAACAACAAATATTTTAATTTAAACCTTTCGTTGCGAATTTTAAATTAATTGCTGGTGTATTTTTATTTTGAAACAGATGATTAAGCGACTCACGTATTTTTAACTGCATTTTGTTACAATATATATTTTATTAGAATAATAATACGGTAGGGGTACAAGTTTCTTTTGTTTGTTTGTTTTTTTAATTTCGCGCAAAGCTA